GCCTACTGTCCCCGCCCCACAATGCTATTGGTTCCTGCGACTGGCACTCGGTGCTTTCTCCCAATCCGCTTCCTAGTCCTTTTCGGGGGCGGGCCATGGGGTGCCCCCGCCCTCCCCCGGCGCCGACGGGGAGGAGTCGAGGTCGGGGGCGGGGCGGGGCGGGGCGGGGCGGTGCCCGGGGCTGGTACCACCCGTGGTTTGCCGAAGTCGCTGTCTTTATTCTGTCTTTATTATCATGATGATCTTTCCTTGTCTGAGCTAGCTGTTCTGCTCTATTGGCCATTTCGTGCTTTCTTTTTGGGTTTCATGCCTACTTTCTTAACGCTTTTCTCCTGCTCCATGCTGGAAGCAAACTATAGACCTGAGGTTGTAAAGTGGGACCTTGGACAGAGAGCACCATGTTCCAACGCAGGCCGCACTAACGATCTGGTCACATCCATTGTAGAGATCTGTTTCACTGTTTGTGCAGATTGGCACCTTTTAGACCATCTGATGCAGAGAGGCACGAGCTTCCATGGGTAGCAACTTACTTTATCAGATGCTATGCTATAGGTCAGGGGTTGGCCAACATTTTTTGGCCGGAGTGCCAAAAACATCCCAACCTCAATCCACAAACAGCCCAACCTCAACCCATGCCTCAACTTGGCATGCCAGAGGCGGCAGGCGGGGAGCTGCAAGGAGCCCAGTCTTTGTTGCTATCAGTTAGGGCTGTGCAAAGTTTCGGCAACTGTTTTCTTTCAGAGGTGTTTCGACACCCGAAACACTGAATCCAAAACAAAATGGAAAGCTCCGAAATGTCTCCGAAACTAAATGAAATCTTCCAAAACATTTCAGACGTTTTGGACGTGGGCTTGCAGGGAACAGAAACTCAGAAGAGGGAGGGGGAAGAGAGGTGGGGGAAGGACTGCTCTGACATTGACATCTGTAGCTTTGCTTGCAAGATTTTGGGGTGCAATTTCTCTGACCCCCCTGCACCTATCTCCTTGACACTTGGCAGGCTTCATGCCCTCAGAAGGGGCTACCATTCCTGCAAGTTTCATCCACATCAGGTCAGAAATGACAAAGTTATAGGTTGTTTCAACTTTCCCCATTATAGCCTGTGGGCAAAACGTCGAAACAGCTGTGAAACGGTGAAACATTTTGACTTGCCTCATTTTGTTTCGAGGCTGTTTCAACCATATCTGTTCCATTTTGATTTTGCTGTTTCGACCTCAAAACAAGTCGAAACAGCCTTGAAACAAAACTCATGGTGAAATTTCACACAGCCCTACTGTACAATCCCATTTGTCTTCCGCATATCACTACCAATCCAATGGCCAGGCTAGGAATATCCTGAAGCAATACCTCTGTTGCTACAACAGTTACTACCAGGATAACTGGTCCTCCTTATGCCATCTGGTGGAGTTCATTTACTACAACACTGACCATTTCTACTGGCTGGAGTCTATTTGCAAATTATGGTTTCCACCCTCAGCTCCAAATCTATCTACACTTGATGTCTCCCAACCCTGCAATCTCTGAATGGGCACAACACATTTGTTGGATACAGGAAGATTTAGAGAAACAAGTAACCCAAGCCAAAGAAATCTATATGCAATTTGCTGAAGCTATATATAAAAAATTCCCTTCTGCATAGAGCCCAACTGCTGCCATCTCCTGTCTGCATTTGGAGAATGAGGAATATATGGTTCAGGAAATTTTGGGACTCAAAATTCAAGCATGGCTGGCTATGGTTCTTGGTGGATTGGGAAGCGTACCATCTAGAACAGTGGTTCTCAACCTTTTTTGTACTAGGACCCATTTGTAAACATTGATGGCCAGTCCATTTTTAAAGTTTGCTTGTGGCCCTTTCGTATATTCTTGCGACCCACTTTTGAGTCATGACCCGGGGGTTGAGAAACAGTGGTCTAGAAGATCACACTGGGAGCTATTAGAGAACATACACCCCAGCACTACTCCAGGCTTTTCATAAGTAGTACCCAAGAAAACTGTGGTCAGGCCACCTGAAGGTCAGGCATGAGGGGGTGGGGAAGGGAGGGAAGAGAGATGCCAGGACCTGGTTCTGAACCCCCAGTCCCAGCTCAATCCTCCACCAGGCCACAGCTCATGAAAGAAGGCAGACTGGCAAGAAAAGGGGCCCCACAAGCACAGGGCCCTTCCACCACTGGCCCCGGATTGGCCTGGGGCTCCTGGCCCCGGATTGGATGCTCCTGCCTATGTAAGGCTTCCTGTTTCCTGGGAAAGCTGTCTGAACAAGAAGTCTCCTGCTGCCCTTGGGCCATCCCATTGTTTCCTTGCCTCTGTGCCCTGCTTCTAGATCTGACCACCTACTGCTGACCCTGCTCAGATTTCGACCTCTGCCTCTGCCTCATGTCTGGGATTGTTGGAACTTGGCTTGCTCCCTGATCTTGCTCTGCCTGGCGTTTTGGTCCCAGCATGAACTCTGAACCTCTGGCTTTGACCTCGGCTACCCCTCAGACCTCGGGCTAACAGCATGTGCAAATCACCAGTTGGACCACCTACACCGCAGTGTGTGACACTTCTCCTCAAAAATCTTGCTACAAAATTCTTTTTCATTTGCATTCATCCTCTGTGAATGTTTGTGGCCTCTGTCCATGGGCCAGAAGGCTTCTAATAAGACAGTAGAGGCAGAACTCAGAGAAAAAACACTAGACAGGGACTCAAAAGATCCAGGTTCAGACTGCATTATAGACTTCTTTTGTGTCCTTGAACAAGTCTCTTAAGGCTAGAACCTTCAAAATAGCTATGCGTGTAATTGATTGAAGGGGAGCTAGGGATCTAACTACCTTTGAGGATCTGAGCCTCAAGGCACCATATGCTAGCAAGTTCTGTCAGGCCAACCATGTTGAAACTACCAGATGTTCTGGAGAAGCCACCAAACACAGCTTATCACATAGCTTTCAAGTGCCATATGCCAGAACAGCCCTAGCTAGAAAAAAACCCACCCTGGATTCCAGTTGAATGTTAATGGTGTTCCACATGAGTCCACAGTCATTTCATACTGGGGCCGTATCATCCCAGTTCTGGCTGCCAGTATTATGGCACCGTTACCATAGTGCAACTGGCAAAATCCTTCATGTAGATGCTGCAGCTGATGCAGCAGGAATCTTTCTGGACAGTATATAGGCATTTACACACACAGGTTTTTGTCAGCACAGCTACAAGAGCAAAGTTTTCCAGTGCATATGAGGCCTTAGTCTTTCCATATTTTTCAAAAGGGGGCAACACCTCTCTCCCTGCCACGCATCTTGTCTATTTAGACTGGTAAGCCTTTCACCTCAAGAACTGCCTCTCCCTACACCCATCTCCAGCACCTCACCTAAATTCAGTGCCCTATCAGGAGGGGTCACTAAGATCGAATGCAAGGCATGTAGTAGATGAATGAGAGGTCAAAGCAATAAGAGTGCAAATACAAGACCAGTTGCACATTCAAGGTAGATCACCAGCTGCCTTTCAGCCAGTACTCACAGCTTTACAACAGGCTTGAGTCTGAAAGAAGGAAGTGGAAGGGACTGCAATTACCCCATGCTTAGCAGTGCCAGGAAGATGTGGAGCATATGTTCAAAATACCCACATGAAAGCCATCTCATGGAATACTGAAATGTGGAGGACTTTCCTGCTTTCAGAATTTTGCATCACAGACTAACAGTTAAGCAAGCTCAAATGGTTAGATATCACCAGCATCCTAATTCTGCTGACTTCATAGTTGCCCTGTCTCAGGATCTGGAATTCTGTGGTATCATGATTGCTTCCTCCCAAGTTACCCATCACCTTCACATCCTCCACCAATTCTTCCCTATTGGTCAGGACAAGATCCAAGATAGATGAACTAGTTGTAATCTCAACCTGCTGGAACAGAAAGTTATCCTCCACACAAATTAGGAACTAGTTTTACATTTTAGATGAGTTGCAATACTAAAGTTTTGACTTCTTAGAGTTATCAGGGGCCCTTTTGCACTGCATTGAAAGGGGAGGGAGGGTTTCTCTATAGCCCTAGTTGGGCTCCCTGTTCACCTGAAGCTCCAACCATCACTGGCTCAGCTTTCATTTTGCTGAAGACACTTTTTAGCATTAGGTCTAATGCCTTGCAGCCACAGCTACCAAAGAAGCCCAGGTCCCCATGTCTGGGAGTATTAAGCAAAGCACCAAGAGAAGGTCTGCACTTTTCTGATATGTGTATCATGCAGAGTACAGGCTATGTGGGAGCCAAAGAATAGAGCAGCATGGGTATGGAATGAACAAATGCCAAATTCCTGCTGTTCAAACCTTCAGTATTGACCTTTGGCATCTTTCCATGTAAACAGTTCTAGACAGATAAGCAGCTCCCAATATTTACGTAGATTAAATTTTTTCTGCTTTATGCCTCAGGTGAGAAGTTCCCATCAAGTTTGGCTTTCTTATTGCAGTTTCTTATATACGACCCTTGACTTGCACTTACCTTCAGGAAGGTTTATGATTACATTTAGAAATCAGGCCTTACAGAGGTGGTTAGCCATGTTAGTCTGAAGTCATGCAGAAGGTAGAGCAGGATGGCAGCACGTTACAGCACTGGTTCAGAGAGGCAGCTTTTGTGGGCTACTAGCTATAACAGGGGTCGGCAACCCTTGGCGCACGCCCCAGAGCATGGCACATGAGGCCATTTTGCTCGGCATGCCACAGCCGGTCCAGGCTGCACCAGTGTCTGGAGCACCAGCTCTGTGGCACCAACAGGTGCATGCGCGCCTCAGGCTGCACGGCAGGGAAAGGGCCTGGGTCAGCACATCCCCAGCCCCTGCCCTGCTATCTGCCTGGAGAAACCCATTCGCCCACTGCGAGTAGGGCTGTGCGAAATGGCTGTGTT